TTATTATCCCTCAGAAATTATCCTGGACTCGCTGTTAATAGTTACGTGAAAATGTCAGCTCAATACTCAATAGGGGTCAAAAAGACAAGCACAGAACCATGTTAGGAAAAGGTAGAAAGAGAAAAAAAGTAAAAAAAAAAAAACAAGTGGAAAAAAGGAGAAAATTCCATAAAATTGGTATATGAATACATGGAGATCTTCAACACTGCATGCATTTTGAGCCACCTTATCAAAAGGAAGTTAGAGTAGAATTAAAAGAAACCCAACCTCCACAAAGAAACAAGAATCATTGGAATAGTTTTCATATAAAGACAGAAAAGTTTTTCCTGATAAATAATAGATTTCAGAGGAGAGGAGTTGATAGCTCTTTACAGAGACATAAATAGTGAATGGAGGACACACATAAATTAATTTATTTCTCTGTAATAAACTACAAATTGAATTTAAGTCTTCAGGATGAAAGATTAGAAGCAAGCAAGAGGGGTGCTTCTAAAGAAAAAAATAAAAAGCCATAAGCAAAGGTGATGATGTCACTTTTGGTTCAGAAAGACCTTAAACTGGCTCTGACCAAGAGGAATGGTGCTATGCTTTCTCCAAAGTAGCCAGTGTTAGCCACTGTCAGGGGTGGCAGTCAGTGAAACTGCAGCCTGTTCTGGGGAACTAAGCCCTGACATCAGCAGAAGTTGCTGTGATGCTCCCCAGCGTGACCTGTAGTGGAGGAAGTATCTTGAGCACAGGATGTGGTGTGTGCCTGTAACAGTTGAGAAAAGGAATGCTTTGTTTCTGAATATAAATGGAAATGAACCAAATCCAATGTAAAATCATACTTGGTTCGATGGGTGATTAAAATATCAAAATGTTTATAAGCTTTCTGTAGGTTGTGGAAGATTATCAGTGGGATGGTCCAAAGCCACATAGCCTCAGGTTCATCTTTATGTCAGGTGTACCCATTTTCATCTCTAAGCCTTTAAAAAGCAAAAAAAAGGAATGAAAAAGTTGTTTTTACTGACCTTCTGGGTATGCTAACTTCATGGACTCAGGGGAGAATCTAGCAACAAAGACAGTCTTGTGAATACATGTCTGTACAGTGTGTCAGATGCATTTGCTGGACCACAGGCTAACAATAAAAAGAGAAAATGAAACTTATAAAGTTATTGCTTATTGTCTGCAAGATTTAATCACTCACACTGGAAGTAACTTTACTCTTACCAATGTGTTCTTTTTCCTCTTTTTTTTTTTTTTAAGAACACTGTGTATGAAACAAGTGAAATAATGCTGAAATATATGTTTTCTAGTGCCTACCTGCTCAGCACCTGATAGAAACTATCAAGAAGTTGTCCCCATGGAAAGTGTCTCCTGAATTATACTGAAGGCAATAAGAGAGAGTCTGTGGTTAAAACTTCTGCCTACAACCAAATTCTGAGAATTGGTGTTGTGACTCTCATCTTCAAAAAGAGCATAATAATTAGATAACGAGGAGAATAGTCCATATACAAGGAACAAAGATGCTCCATGCAAGTATACCACTTTTTACAATTAATATACAATGCTAAGTGGTTTTTAACTCTTAAAATAATAATAAAAATATGTGGTATATGTATGCTGGTTTGAGTAATTTCTTTCTTTAAGTTACTGGAATGAATTTATTTTTTATTTAAACATAATGTCACACTTATCTCCTTTAGCAAGGTCTTTGCAGAGGCCTTTACATGTCCATTTTTGTCAGACAACCGATTTTCAATTTTTCAGTTGGAAGGCCCATAAAAATGTGCAGTGTAGTAGGAAGAGCAAATTTAAACCTGTGAGTTTAGTTCTCTTGGTGAGTTTTTGGTCCTTGAGTCCACCAATGCTTTGAGGGTCTCTGGAATGTGAAACAACTTATTAAGATTCTTAATGCTTATAAAATAAGTAAATGAAACTTACCCTTCTCTACATGGACACTAACAATTTATTCCAAGTACGTTGCTGACTTTGCCAACAGCTTGCTTAGCACATTGATTCATGAATTAACTAGATATTTTCTTTCAAGTAACTTGCTGACATATATGTGACTGGCAATGGAAGATGGTCTGGCCATGTGTGAGTCTTCACCCCACAGATGTACCTCTTCTCTCTTGTTGATTGCCTCTGATGTCCTAAGACAAGACGCCAGGAGGAACTCTCTGGATGCTCTTGTAAGGAATACATTCACTTTTAGGCAGGTGAGTAAAATGCTAAGATACGGTCACAAGTATCATAGAGTAGCTCCATAGGTGCATTGTGATTGTGTGTTCTGCAAAGCCAAAATCTGCAAACCTGTAAATTTCTAGCTCAACCGGTTTATATTGTAACCCTTTAGACTTGCTTATATTCTATACTTCATTATCAATATTTAGATATTGTATTAACAATAAATGTAATCACAATCATCCACGTAATCAGTGGTGTATTTCTGGTGCCTGACTAAGATAGTTTTCTTCTACTACTCTGTTACAATATAGTCAATCAAATTTATTATTCTGGACTAATAGCATTTGTTTAAGTTTTCCTTTCTGCAATACTAAGGAAGTTATGAGCTGGTAAGAAAGCTGATGTTCTGTTCACATATTACTCCATGAATTCTTTATTGTTAAAACAAATTACCTATCCCTGTATGCTATTTTTCCCTTTCTCTTTTTCAGAAGTCTCTAGTCAATTACTAGAGGCCTTTACTGATTTGGTCAGTAGATCAGACATACTGGTCTTTGATTTCTAGGATCCTCTTCAAGTCATTAAAAATCTTTCATGTTCAGTATCTGTCATTTCCAGAGGCTGAAACAAACTGAAGTAAAAAGTTATGTCACAGACATGATAGTTTATGATTTGGGAAAAGTACTTTTACATCTTTGTTTTCTTCCTAACCTGTCACAATACAGGATTCAGCTGACTCCAGGTTATTGGCCTAGTGTTCAAACTGCACTGGCCTTATAAAGTGCCTCATTTATCCCTGATAGTAGTGGCTTAATTACAATGTAATTACATTACATTGTAATTAAAATAGTGTAAAACCCCCACAATTTAAACCAACCAAAAAATCCAAAAGGTAGGGAGGTCATGAGAAAAGACCCAGATTCCTTTTCCCAGAGTTCATTCTGGTAGTCAGCCTGTTGAAGGAGGGGAAAGCTTACTAAACTCACAGCATTATGAACTTCTCTGTAAATTTTTTTTTTAATAAAAGTTGTCTTTGCTCATCCATATTTTCAACTCTTCCACTGTTTGTTTTTTTTAAAAATATGAATCACAAAAGACTATGAAATTGCTGTGTCCTTTCTACAGGGGCAGAGGATCAAAGGGGTGATGTGCCCTTGGATGTAGGCACTTAGCATCCATGTCTCTAACACTTTCTCTCTCTTTGGTCTGCTTGCTCCTTTGCTTTTTCCCTCCATTCTGAGTGGTAACCAAGAGAACAGGGAGGTAGAGAAGAAGAGTGTTCAGCAGAATCGTTTTCTCCTGATATTCTCCTAAAGAGTACCTCTGGAAGAGGGGCCTTCTGCTTCAGGGCTCTCACACATTATTAGTGTGATGTTCTGACTCTGCCTTTGGAGGGTACCCATCTGGCTTTGTGGTTTCTGCCGGGAGCTTTTGTGTGGTAACAACTTGCCCAGTGAAGTAGGCTCACCATGTGTGAAACTAAACTGGGCCAAATTGAGAAATTTTGCCAGCTAGGTGGAGCTCCCCCACTAAGTTTCTTCCTGTCTTGGTTTGTGCAGCCTTAATCACTATTGCTGAATATGTGAGTTCATTTAAAAGATGGCCAGTTTACACAAATTAAAATCAAAAGGTGAGACAAGCTCTCTCTTTGCCTTTTGACACCTTTGACAGGTGGAGGTGAGCACACAGTAATCCAGGGATGTATGGATCTGCATCGTTGTTCAGCCTCTATTTCTCTGTGGTGTTTTCATTCAGTGCAGTCCTGGAAGTGCTGGTGACATTTTCAGTAGTTTTCTTTGTGGATAATAGAATTTTAAAAATACTTTCCAGTTACTAAAACATAGTCTGTAGGTTGTTGTAAAATAAACTTACCACTTAGCTGTAACAAACACCTGCTCATGGCAAAACTTATTCTTCTCTCCACAATCAAAAAGGGATTCTCTAAATTAGGCATCTTTTGTTTCCATACTTGCTGGGTCTCTAGAGAGCACCAAATGAGGGGATTTATGTCTATGTATGATGAGGATAAGACTTTCTACTGCAGCCTGAGATCTGAAGATCAGATGAAATTCACCACACGTTTCTATTCTGTCTCCACAGTGAAAAAAATTGCAGAACATTTTAGGCATTGATCTACATTGGACCACATAATTTTTCTATAGGCCTTTAGTGATGCTGAAGACACTTAGTCTTCAGCAATTTTCAGTAAATATATGAAGTGAAGCTCAGTACATAGTTTTGCTGATACTTCAGGAAGAAATGCAGAATCTAGACTGCTGTCTTACAGCAAATTTTTATTTTGGAAAAAGAGTACTGCATTGTTGGGGCTGTGAGAAGAGCATAGTGTATATCCTCACCACTGTTCAAAATAATGGATCTGATTTTGTTAAAAGCACGCGTGGGGTCAGTTACTGCTGCTCAGCTGCTGAGCAGTAATTGTTATATTCCAGTAATATGTTTGTTGTTTGCTGTGATATCCATATGGTGGAGTAAAAAGTTATGGTTCTGGATTTGAAATGTAATAAAATAGAGCTAGTAAGAAGCTAATTTCTTTTTCCACAGAGCTACTTTTTATAGTACGTTTGAAGTTTTAAGGACCATGTTGAAGTATAATTAAATAAAGCTTTTTGGGGAAAAAATGAAATAGTGAACAAATAACTCTCTGTACCAATAATGAAAGACATTTGTTTGAAACCAAATTTCTCCAATAGAAATTGATGTGTATATGTTTCTTCTGTAATTTGACAGTAGACTGTAGCCTTGTGTGTTATGTATGAAATATATCGAAACACTAGCATTGTTTCAATTCACCAAATAACCAGCTATAAGGAGAAAAACAGTGTCATGTTGTCACATTAAAATTGGCAAGTCCTTTTTTCTTTTTCCTGAGGATATGCATACATTAGTGTAATGTTGAAATTACTTTAATTTCACCCACATTGTTTGGGAAAAGTTTAAGGAGTTTGAAGAATCCCTTTAGTTTAAATTATAGCAGTCTCTGAGATACCTGCTGACTGATTTCTGAAAAACAGTGCTAACAGGGAGTAGCAGCCTTCTGTTACTTAATGTCTTGCATTTTAATTAATAATGGTGGCACATTAACACATTTTGTCACAACTTGGGTATAACATGGAAGATGAAACAACAGAAGGAGAAGGCAGGAATTAGGAGAAAAGTTCAGCAAGTCATTTTCACATGCCTGATTTGGAGCGTAACTACATTTCTTAAGTTGTGGAAAGAAGGCTATTTCAGTGTAATGCTAATTTAATTTTATAAAGACAGAATTGTATCATGAAACCAAAATCTATTTTTATATATTTGTCATTCCATAACATTGGGATAATTGTTGACCATGAAGCATATGCAGTTGTTGAAACTTAGGAGCCTGTGGATTTATTTAGAATTAGTAGCAATTCCCACTGTTTGTTAACTGAAGATTTTTTAACACTGTCTGTAGAATGAGCTCATGTATTTTGTGCATTCTGTGCATGATGTACCTTCTTATCACAATAACCTAACCAAGTAGACCTAAGCTGTGTGATGATGACTTTTTTCTTGTCTCTATCAGCACATTTAAATTTTGGAGGAAGATGAGGGTTTGGGGCCTTGGTTTCAAGGAACAGATTCAATTTTGTCTGCAGCCTAAGCACAGTCTTTCATCTGATGATTTTGAGCTAAGGAGTGACCAGATGTCCATTGACTACCACTGCTTTGGTTCAAGGCAAACATTCAAAGCATTATCTGCATCAGTGATTAAGGATTTATGTCAGTACCATAAGTTTTGGTTGGAACAGTTCATTGAACATCAGGATTATTACTTAAAATAATAATAAAAAAAAATTAAAAATTGACTTCTTAAGCAGAGCTGTGCAAAAATATCTTCATACTCTGGACAAAGTCACCAGAATATGTCAGTGCAAGTGTTTTACTTTTCATGGAATCATGGAATCACTCTGTGAGTCATGCAGGCAAGAGGTGGGGCTTCCTCCGCTGGTGAGTAAGTGGGCTGATTAAAAGAGGTCTCTAGGGAGCGCGGTGAACAGGAGCAGGCAAGCAGTGGCGTGGCACAGCTGTTTGTAGGGCAGGGAGGCAGGGAAGGCAGGCAGGTTGCAGGTTTTTCCTGCTAGTAAGGTTAGTTTGTTGTTTGCTGTGTTTCTGTTGGTTGGTTGGTATTTGGGGGTTTTGTTAGTAATGGTTTTTTCATGATCAAAAACTGTAGTTAGTACAAGTCTGTGTAACCAAACAGAACCCTCCAAAAAGGATGTGTCTGTACAGACCCATTCCTGTGTGGAGTGTTTGAGCTTGGTTCCAGGGGCCATTGCAGAAGAAGCCTGCCTGTGGTGTGAACAGCTGAATGATCTCGTTTCACTGGTGGCCGAGCTTAGGGAGGAAGTTGAAGGCCTAAGGAGTATTAGGGAAAGTGAAAGGGAAATAGATTGGTGGAGTTCCACCCTTACATCCTTGAGGGGGGCCCACCAGGAGTCAGAGGACTCCCATGCCTCCCACTGTCAGGCAATAGGAAGACACCTGGTCGATGAAGGGGAGTGGAAATGCCTCCCTGCTCGGGGAGGTAATAACAAAAATTTCTTCCGATCCCTGTCACCTACCCAGGTACCACTTCAGAATAGGTATGAGACCCTGGATCTAGAGACTCATCCAGATGATTTAGAAGAAAATTATCTGCCCAGTGGTCCTCCCAGTTACGCTTCATCTGTAGGATGGATCACCACCTCTAACATCAAAAAGAAGGGTAGCTGTAGGGGCTGACTCCCTTCTGAGGGGAACAGAGGGCCCCATATGTCGACCGGACCCATCCCACAGGGAGGTCTGCTGCCTCCCTGGTGTTTGGGTACGGGATATTACTGAGAGACTCCCTGGGCTGATTCAGCCCTGTGATTATTACCCACTGCTGTTGCTCCAGGCTGGCAACAGTGAGATTGAAAAGAGGAGTGTCAGGACAATTAAAAAGGGCTTTAGGGCACTGGGTCAGGTGGTTGATAGGGAAGGAGCACAGGTAGTCTTTTCCTCAGTC